GGAAGACTTGTATTTCGAACTTAAAATATATCTGGCCAAGTTTAACTGTTGGAAAAAAATAACTGCTTTTTAAGGTCCCTGTTTTTAAGCAAAAAACAAAACCGACTTCAACTCTCATATAAAAATTTAGGATTACCATTAATTATTTCATGATCCAATGATCGGATCTAAACCAGAGTAGTATGGGACCACCTCTGAGACAGTACCTTTCCGATGAAAAAAGAATTATCGAAATCGGTTGACGTGGTCCAAAGGTCCGCGGTAACATACATACAAAAAATAATAATATTCCGACGACATCAGTTCTCCTTTTTTGGGAGTCGCTTAAAAACAACGCGATTTTCTAGCGTCTTAAAATTTGCACTTTAACCTACTAAAATTTAATGGGCCACAAAAGTGCATACCTTAAATTTTTCTAAAAACTCTGAAATTTGAAAATTTCGGGGGATCTAGGTAAAATTTGTTGAATTTTTTAAATTTTGTACAAAGTTTGAAATGTGGATTTATATGGTGCTTATTATATAATGCGCTAAACTTTTATAAACAATTTTAAACATCGAATATACAAAAGAAATATAGGTAAAACTGATCAAAATAAAAATTTTTATTATTTCCTCCACCACTGTATGTATATATGTACATATCGTCGCCCGGGTAAAAGATTGTCGTAAGCGTAATTTTGACGATTTTTAGTTCTAGATGCAGTCAAATATTTTGAAATAAGGTCTTTCGATTGGTGTTATCAGTTTTCAGATATCTCCTTTAGTTTCCGAGATATTGACTACAATTTTTTCTATAATTCAGTAAAAATTTAGTTAGTGATGCAGCCATATTAAACTAATCAATATCTTAAAAATTACGTTCTCCATTTTTGGATATCTTTTTAAGTTTCCAAGATATTGAGTAAAAAGTGTCGTTAATTTAGTAGAAATTTTGATCACATTTTGTCGTATTTCATACAAAGTGGCTGCCAAATTGTGGACAAATGACGCTACGACAAAATTTTACTAAAGAAAATCCTTCATAAACTCAAAGCTAATTAACATTAAACATTAAAAATTAAATAATTTAAGAATTTTGTGAACTAGTAACATTTTCAGAGACTTTGGAGAATATCTGTCTTCGCGTTTTTGAGAAATTGCCTTCCAAACTTCAATCGCGATTTCCCACAACCTGCCGAAATCAACATACGTCAATCTTTTACCCAGGCGACGATATGTAATTTATTATCTTGGTATATTATGTATGTGTAGGTTCATGCGTACGATTTACTTAAAGAACTATATCTAACCCCGTGTCAATTGATGGTGCTGTTTGGTTTATCTGATTGCACAATGTGCAATGCACATGCTGATTGTTTGCGGCTTGGCAATAATAAGTGAAAATTCTTGATAAGTATACAAAGTGCTGTTAACTTAACTAAATAGTATACATATTCTATAGTATTATTTAAGGTTCTCTTAGCGCAAAAAGCCAGTCACTTCAACTTCACATTTCAAAGCCAAGTTGAGAAGAGAGAAAATTCGAAAATGATTTATATTGAGTTCTAAACTTTTTAGTTACGCTAATATTATATACTGCACCCGCCCAGCTAGCACTTTTGCCAGACAATTTCTGACAATNAACTTAACTAAATAGTATACATATTCTATAGTATTATTTAAGGTTCTCTTCCCGCCAAAAAGCCAGTCACTTCAACTTCACATTTCAAAGCCAAGTTGAGAAGAGAGAAAATTCGAAAATGATTTATATTGAGTTCTAAACTTTTTAGTTACGCTAATATTATATACTGCACCCGCCCAGCTAGCACTTTTGCCAGACAATTTCTGACAATTCGGAATAAAAAGTTGACTATTTAGACAAGTCTTACAGGTTTCGTACAGATTTCTGGGCAAATCGTTTGTAAAATTTTATTTATTTCCTTATCCGATATGTCTGGTGGAATTATGTCCGATTTCGGGCATACACGTCTGATAATTCTTATTTTCCATGATTATTTGTTCAGACATCTGGTAGATATCCGTCAGAATCGTCCGTAATTAAGTCAGAATTTCCCACGTCGTGTCGGTTAGACTTCCTGTCAACCTCTCCATACGCTTCTCTGACCGATATCGGCCAAAATCATACAGATTTCTGACTTTTTTGCCGACAAGTCTAACTTTCTGACAATTTTGCTAGCTGGGCGTCTTGTTTTGTAAATACATATATGTATGTATATTGCGGCATATGTATTTGTAAATGCCCTTTAGGATATGCGAGGATTCCGCCAAGCATGACAAAAACATTCCGCGGAATGAAGGAAACATTCCTCTTTGTTGTTCTTTATAACATACGATGTCATTGGGAAAAAGTATTCCCCTCGCTGATTACAGAAAGTTTAGGGAAACATTCCACAAAGCTACTCAAAAAATTAATGCGGAATGCTTCGACAAAGCTTATGAATGAATATGGATAGCGATAGAACGATATCGGTGCCAAGTACGGAATATCGATAGTTTTTATGAGTACTGAGCAGTAACGTGAACCGGATGAAAAATTTTGTCGGTTCGGTTTAGCGGTTCGAACCGTTTTTGCACTTTTGGATTGGTTCGCCAAAGCGGTTTTTTTAGTCTTTGAACCGGGGTTTCGGTTCGGTTAAACGGTTCGAAAAACAAACAAGTAATAAAGTCTAAGTTCGGGCGGAGCCGAACATTAAATACCCGGCGCAAGTAATAAATATATGATTTTCACCTTTCCGTAAGCCGGGTGTATCAATTTTGAGTAACTTAGCTCCTTAAATTTCGAAATATTGAAGTTTCAAGCATTTCTAAAATTTACCGTTATATGAAAAGCGGCCTCAATTTTGGTCTGATTTCAATAATTTTCAACGTTTTACTTTTATTTGGCAAGCACAATAGCCATACCGAGTTTGGTATAAATTGGTAGACCGGTTACCGAGATACATATGTATGTATATGTGATCATAAGTGGGCGGTGCCACGCCCGTTTTCCAAAATTTTATCATAAACGTATTTCTTTTGTCTTTCTGTCACATGGTAGGTATTACCATGTTTAACAAAAAGAAAAAAAGTGGGTTCATTTATCTATTAAAACTTGGTTGAAACGAACCTTTAAACCTTTATGGAAAGTGGTTCGGTTTTCGATTCGGATCAAACATTTGTGGAAAATTTCGGTTCGGTTAATGGTTCAGTTAATTAATAGAAAAAAGCGGTTGTTCGGTTCAAAACCGGTTCACGTCCCTGGTACTGAGTAATCATCACGAATACCAGAAAGCCTCGGCGTGTTAAAAACCTTTTTAAGTAAATTTTTTTTTAATAACATATTTACAAAATTTCGTTCATTCAATTACATACATTGAAAAATGATTACAAATTACACAATAAACATTGTGGCGAACGTTCGAAAATTATCTTCTCTCAAAAACCAAAAACTCGAGAAATACGACTTCGTTGTGAATTCGAAATCCAGTCCATTCTCGAAAAAAATTTTATGAAGTAGAGAAATTCATTTCTTTCGAGAATAGGGTTCACCGCATTTGTATCTCATTTTCTACATTTGCATTGTAAAAAGATTTATAAATTTACGCGACAAACACATTAAATATTTGCTTTTAAAAACTATAAATAAGCTTTTTAATATAAAAAGCTTCATGCAAATATCAGTACTGGCATCGATTCTTCTTTAAAGTAATGGTATCGATACTTTTCTAAAAATTTCTGTCCCTAAATATGGAAACATTCAAAAGAATTTGTTTCACTTCAAATTTATTCGGTGAGACGGTAAGTTGTGATTGGGTCTTTTGGAGTTTACACGAGAAGCGATAGGGAATGCTTCCACTTTCTATCCAAGAGATAGCTTTTGTTAAAAGCGACAAGGAAACATAGTAAATTTTAAATGTTCTTCGGAGTTTCGCGAGGAATGATAAGGAATGGTTTCATTTTACTTCCAGTGGAACTACTCCTCAGTTTCTTAGAGGGTGTATGCATATTTTTATATGTGTGTATGTATACGATTACTGCGATCAGCAGTCATAGTAATCAGTGTTGCCGCGAATCTTTTTAGTGATAGCCAAATTTCTTTAAAAAAAGGGCTAAAAAAGAGCTAAAAAACGTCGTTGTGGCTAAAAATGGTAGCTAAAAATTTTTACTTACATATACATATATAAGTATACACGCAAACATTTTCAATAAGTAATGGTTTGGAAAAACAATGAACTCTGGAAAAAAGCAAATATTTTAACCAACCAAAAACCTTTTTGTATAAAAGGAGAAATATACGACACCAGGTTGCTGGCTCCATCAAGTGATTGTACCATCAGGCCCGAAGCATATAACTTACCAGCATGCTGGTACAATATTTATTTTTTTACAAATGAGGTCGAGGAAAGATCGAAATGATTAGCGCCGAAATTTTATAATTTTTCTACCATTTTGCTGAAACATTGTTTTGTTTTTTAATTCACAACTGCAATATCGTGAACTTAATCTTCCCCAAACACGGCTTTGACTCATATTGTGCAAGAAATTTCCGCCAAAATGCTTTTTACTTAGAAAATTGAGCTAATTTCACCACTCACGACACCAGCAGTTGGTACAATCAAACCACAAGAACATACACGGTCAAGTGACTTGATGAGCCATTTAACAAATTAATTTAACAGCCTAATCACTTTTACAGTATGTATGTATAAAAACGTAAGGAACGTACAATACAAATAGATGTGTATATATGTATATCAGTCTTTCTTAGTTTAAAAATTCGCTTCTTACATAAATGAAAAAATGAGATCAAATTAAGCATATTCAGCTTTTTCATGCCAAGTATAAGTAAATTCTCCAAAGGGCTAGGGGCAATTTGAAATTTATATGGCCAAAAAAGTATGTGGTAGCTAAATCTAGCCACCTAAATCTAGTTGACTAATCCGGCAACACTGGTAGTAATATGTATTTATGTAGGTGTCGCTTGTCGCTCGTCTACTCTATTCACTACTCAGTCGTCTCTCTTCGCTCAATTGTTATTATAATGTCAACGCGTTAAGTTCGTATTCCGCTCATATTTCATCGATAGTTTTCCGCGCTTACATTTCATTCATAAAACTACAAATACGAAGTTTAGTGTAAACCTATATTAATGAGTTATCGAAATAGTTGGCAAAGTTTTTTTTAAGTAAGTAAGTGAACAAGCGGCTTATAGTGAAAAAAGTTAATCCCTAAAAATTTTAATTCATAATTGTTTATAAAATAAATCAAAACGTGACTTGTATAGTTAAATACACACAGATATAAACATAAAAATAAGGAAAAATCGTTTGGTATAACCATTAAAAGTCAATTAAAACTTTGTAAATTTTTATTTTTACAATATTAAAGAGTTGCTGTATCAAATCAACGGTCTTCTAAAGATTTACCACATTACAAACATTTAAAACATATGTATGTATGTATGTGTACATATGTACATACGATTACAAGTTTGTTTGGACATAATAGGGGCATTCTTGCAGTCTTACAAAGCCCTTGCACGGTGCACGGTTTGCACGGTTTGCAGATCAGTCCCATTGGAATCCCGGTTTTCATCGTGCAATCCGTGCGCCGTGCAAGGGCTTTGCAAGACTCCGAGAATACCTCTAATGTGTTTTTGTACAAAATTTAAATATTAGTCATCTGTTACTTATGAATGTGAATCATGATCATGTTTCTACGGTTGTATACTTACAAAAGCAGCATTTCTGAGCACTGCAATGTTATTGGTAGAGTTGTTAAAACCTGGTGGCATTGCATTACTTAGAACTGAACAAATGAATGATGAACGTTAAAAGAAAATCGAGCTTACTGACTCACTGGCGCATACGCACATATGTATGTAGGTATGTATGTATGTACATTAAGCTGGTGCGATTTTTGAGCTAGAGATATTGATAGGGTAGATTAACGGTTCGCAAGCCTTGCCACAATTGTTTGAAAACTGCAATAGGGAAAAAATAACCTTTTTTGTAGTATTTCTCTGGCGTTAAATGTCAAAATGTCCGGAAAAGAATAAGATCGAGCGCTCCAGGTCACTAATAAAATAAATTTTAAAATATTAAATATACTGGCTTTTTTCTATATATCTGCACACATAAAATCAAAAAAGGCGGTTTGCATGGGTATTTATAGCCTAAAAATGTTGAAGCTGCAGATTGATTAATTAATTAATTTATAGTATCTATTAGAGGCCTCATTTTCATCGGAAATTTATCAAAATCAGCTGACAATCTAAAATTGGCGCTTTTTCTGGATACTAGAAGTAAAGTTAATAAATGTGTACACCATCAACTTCATTTAAAAATTTATAAACTTTTAACAATAACTTACATTTCACATCCATTTTATTGCGAAGAAAAATAAATATAAAACTGAGGCAGAGACTGTCAAATCGAATTAAGAATGTGCTCGTCTGATTGGGGTAATTCACGGTAGTAAATGGGAGAGCGAACAAAGTAATACATGGTGCCGTGGAAAAACCGCATTAATTGTTTGCGGGTGTCCGCTAAACACATAGGATTCTTTCAGATAATTTTGACTTTCAACACAAGAAGAATAGTAAACAAGTAATTTTTAAGCAAAAAAGAAAACCGACTTCAATTCTCATATAAATATATGTATATATATTTCATGATCCAATGATCGGATCTAAACCAGATTAGTATGGGACCACCTCTGAAACACTACCTTTCCGATGCAAAAAGAATTTACGAACTATCGGTTGACGTGGTCAAAAGTTATGCGGTAACATACATCAAAAAAAAAATATATATATATATAAAACAAACCACTGCGGTATATGGGAGTGCTCAAACAGATGCGGTATACCGTTGCGATGTGATGCGTTGAAAAATTGTATCACAGCAAGCACAATTGACCGCACGATATGAATAGATTTTCCCTTTAATGGTTGCAGATTTTTGATTTTTTGTCACCTAAGAAAGCCTGCTAAACAACCATGATATGTAACAATCTCATTTTGCAAACCTGCATCGTAACAACAACAATTTCTGGCAGGGGTTGCGGTTAGTGCTGTAAAAACATCGATATGTGAGATTATAGACTTTTCGTTTTTTTTCCTGTAAAACACCGACAGTATCAATACCATCGGGTTTTCTTGAGAATTATGACTTTTTGTTTAAAATTGAAATCCTGATAATTTAACAAACATTATAATTTTTTAAATAATTTTATTTATTACTATAAAGTTATCTACTAATTACTTTAAAATTAAAATGTATTATTAAGGCAAAAACATAATTCATTTGACTTATTCTTAAGGTCACATTGAAAAATGGAATTTATGAATTAATTAAATGAAAAATAAAAAGTAATATAAAAATATTCATAAGCCAACACCACAATTCATTTGTATTATAATTAATGTCTTATTAACCCTTAACTACAGAGGTCCGATTATAAAAACGTTATAACAGACCACCGATTGTTGTTGATGTTGTTGTAGCGGCTACAACAACCCCGCCCAGATCGGTTAGTATCTCAGTCGTTGTCGTCAAGCTCAACTAACGGAAGACCCAAGAAGCATGCAGCAGAGGAGATTTATTTCAAAAAGTTCTTTAAAAAACTATTTTTATTCATAAAAAACTCCATTTTTTGAGGTATTTTCAAATCGCTCCAGCTCACGTAAATCTTAATATTTTTCCGAAATATTTTGGTGGACGTCTTAAAATATAATAGATTTTATAATTCCAATGGAAACAGAGTCCCGATTTTTTATTTTTTTTTTTGTATGGGGAGTAATGCTGTCTAATATGCATGGATGCTTTCCATTTCAATTCAAGCGGTCCACTCGTATTTTTTCTTTTTGCCGAAAAAAATTTTTTCGGAAATCTATCGGCAATTTCGTTTTCTTGGGTGAAAATCGATTGTTTCGGTTTTTGAGGAAACCTTTTTTCCAATTGTCTATAACTTTCCCAAAAATTGACCGACTTTGGTTTGGACTACAAAATGAAGTTTAAACAAAAATGAAGTTTAAGCAAAAAAGTTTTAAAATTCAATTTCTCAAAAATGGTATTTTTAATTTTTCTCAAACTTTTTTATTATTAATATATATAGTCATTTTAAACTTAATTTAGACTGAATGGCTAGTAACTAAAATTCGTTGTTTTCGAGTTATGATTTTTTTAAGAAAGAAACTGTTTTCTCGGTAAAACGTGGAATGAGCAATTCATATCGATCGGTAATATTATAAGTGCATCAAAAGCAATACATAATTGTATTTTATATGTTTAATTTGCCAATAATAGGAAACCTCAACACACACATCAAAACTTTTTTCCGTAAAAATGGTCGAATATCATTTTCAGTCCATATATAATGTGATCTTGACCTACGAATGTAGAAATCTTATTTAGCAACCTTCCACTCACGCTTACAAGTTTTTGCCGTGTACACTTTGCTATTTTTATACATAACAAGTTCATTTTTCCAAACATGTGTTTCTCTGACACCTTTATATGCTGGTGTTTTTTTTCCAGCTTGTTTCCTTTTTTTACGAAAACCCTCAAGTTCATTTACCTCTAAAAGTTTATCTTATTTTTGGGGTTTTCCTTTGAACTATGTCAACAAATGCCTTCGCAGATTGGATATACTATGTTTCACCCACACTCAAACTATGTGGCGTCGCAAAAGTGTTAACTAGTCCCGCAATGCCATCGCAGGCCCTTTTTCCATGTCCTGTCGCAGAGAACAACCATTTCCTCTGGAGCTTATGTGTTTTGAGCTCATCTAATTGAAATCTATTTTTGAAGTGACTTGGAGCTCCATCTTATATGGTTGACATACTTTGTGTTACAACCTTGGAAATCGTTGGTTTATATCACTAACAATTTTATTAGTTGCCAACAGGGCATGCGCGGAGTCATGCGATAAATCGCGTTTTGCCCGAAATAACATACTGCAGTGAAAATTTATATTTGTTTTGATTTCCAATGATAGGATTGTACTTCATTCTGTACAATTACAGACCAATTTTCCGCGAAGTCCATGTGTAAGATCAAATGGGATGAATTTTGTTTTGATATATTTTTTTCTATTGCAGTCGTTTTTTTATGCGATCGTTCCCCTCCCAAAACGCATAAGTTATCTCTTCTTGAATTTCGCCTTTGAAGAATTCTGAGATTTTTCTAACTATTCTATCTACTCCAGGACATTTCACACATTCTTTGAATACGCACGCATCATTGTCGACCGAAAAAACTCCAGCGAATAGGACAATTTTACGCACATTCATCACCACAACATATCTGTTGAGACAATTCTTTAATCCCACTAAAGACGAAATTAGCGCAATAAATACACAGACAAGCTTGTTTCGCTGGGGAAGAGGCAACCCATTTTGGTCGGAGATCGTAAAATTTTGAATGTCCAATTTTCAAATCCGTGTGGTCTTACTTGAACATTTGATACGTTTCGTGGATACTGCGCGTCATGTAACGTTTTATTTTGAGCAACTTAACATCATTCTCGTAGACGTTAATCGAATAATTTTTATTTGGATTTTAAGTCGAGCAATTGAGATCATCATTCAAATAATATTCCGATCTTCCGAACATTCTCATCTATCGGATATGCTGAATATGGATCGGGGAATACTATAATATTATCAGTTACATGAGGCCATTTTGAAAAAATAAAATTTTTTGGCATTTGACCAATAGCCGTTGCTTATAATAGCCTAATTTTCTCTGTATACGAAGTACAATTTTCTAGACTGGAACCAAAATTTTCAAACCAGTTCACGCAAAGTTGACAATTCGAAATCTCTGATATGGGAAATTTAATTATTCATTTCCTGCGATGTAATACAACTTTTTCATCTTACACAAAAGCCGCTAATCCTGTATTTCTGCTATTTATTTGCGTTTTCTTGACATGATGGAGGGCTGATCTGATATCAACTTCACTTACATTTTTAAGAGGTGAGACCGTTGAAGTATGAATTTGAAGTTCTGCATTCAATCTTTCAATATCTTCAGGGTTCGTTTTGGGAACAAACGATTCGTCTAGCAAGTTGCTGCTTTAAAGTGACAAGTCACTATTAACTGCTGGTACAACTGATGAGACCTCGAATGTTGAAGGCGAAGGTTTATTTTTACGGAAAAAAGTTTTGATGTGTGTGTT